TTCCTGCCCTCAACCCTTAACCTCTATAGGGGATAAATGAGACCACTATTATTCCTGCATATGAAATCCACCTGGCCAGATGGGGGCTGAGGGCAGACACTCACCCACATGGGAGTTATACAGGCCCCCGGACACCAGGCCTTGTTTCGTCCAGAAGTCCCAGGCTCCAGAGGGGAAGCCGCCATTACAGCTGAGAAAAGAACCGCTGGTTAAACTCATGGGGAGAGTGGTTCTCGCTGCTCCAAGACCACAGCCTGGTGCACCACCACCGCCTTTGGCAACTGGCCCAACGGTTCTCCCAGATCCCCAAATGCCCCATTCATCCTCCCGACAGCCACTTCTTGCAGGGACTCGCCCAGGCCTGCCCACCAAGATCCCCCAGAAGACAGGATGTACTTTCATAATCACGTCCACACCAGGCTCTGTCTTCTGTCTAGACAGCAGTTCTCGAAGAGCAGTACGTTAGAATCCCCTGGGGCTCTTACAGAACACCTATGCCAGGGATTCCCATTTCATTGCTGTGGGGTGAGACCTGGGCATTTTTTTTTTAAACTTCTAATCCGCAGCCGCATCTGAGAACCACTGTTGCAGAAGCAAGGGCAGAGTTGGCAGAAGACAGGGATCTGGTTACTAATGTGGCTTATCTGGGAGCCCACCACCCTTAATTACAGAGAAGGAGGCAGGCCCCAGAGACCACTACGTTTCCTCGAGCAGGAAAGGGGAACCAGCACGACAAAACCCAGAAGATAAGCCGCCTGTGCCGAGAACCTGTGTCTGGCCCCCATGGCCCACACCCAGCTCTGCGCGGCCGGCCTGGTTTCCAACGCCCCGGGTCCCCATCGTGTCTCAGCAGAGGCGTCGTCCCGCCTGAGGGAGCGGTGCTCCCACCCACAGGGAGCCCCCCGGCCAGGGCCCACCCGCGGGTCTGCTGGGCCGCTCTGAGGGGCTCCGACTCACCCATCCCCACACTCGTCGCCACAGCAGGTCAGCATGTCCTCAGCGGACACCTCCACGTTGACTCGTCCATTGCTGCGGATGCAGAGCCGATCAGAGATGGCTTCCACAGCCCCGAACGCCTGCAAGAACTGACGCACTGAGCCCCATCCTGCACTGCGGGCCCTCCAGCCTCCACCCGGGGGGCGACGTCAGGCACCCCGTGCCTTCCTGGTGGCTGGCCCCTCTCCACGGCAGCGGAGGAGCCTGGTACTCAAGCTGGGCATTAAAGCAAGAGACCAGTCCACCCCAAACCTCTACCTGGGCATTCAGTTCACTGCTGAAACATGCAGTCTTTGGTTTCTGACATAAAAATATAGCTTGTACAAAGGACAAATACTGTATGATTCTACTTACATATGAGGTACCCAGACTAGTTAAAATAGTGAGAGACCAAAAAAAAAAAAAAAGTCAGGGGTGGAGCACAGAGCTGTTAGCGTGACCGATTCCCCCTTGGGCCCTTACAGTTCCTTAATAATCACTAGGACCTGGTGGCCTCTATGTTCTGTTAGTCCCCAGACAATGATGAAAACCTTCGCTGACATATTCCTGGTACCCATGAAACAGACCAGTTACCCATTCATGAACCTTAAGAATGTACTTTCCCTTTCCAAGCACCTACCTACCCCCCATACCCTGGATGAGCTATAAAACTGTCCCAGGGAGGGGCTTCCCTGGTGGCGCAGTGGTTGAGAGTCCGCCTGCTGGTGCAGGGGACGCGGGTTCGTGCCCCGGTCCGGGAAGATCCCACATGCCGCGGAGCGGCTGGGCCCGTGAGCCATGGTCACTGAGCCTGCGCATCCGGAGCCTGTGCTCCGCAACGGAAGAGGCCGCAACAGTGAGAGGCCCGCGTACCACAAAAAAACCCCAAAAACCCAGGGGCTCCTCAGCAGTGCAGAATGCGACTGCACGTGCTTCCGGACTGCGGTCCCCACTCAACCCCTCATCCTGATCCCACCCTGCGAGTTACCCTGCAATACACTGATTCACACTGATTTAAAAAAACACCACAAGAGACAAAGCAGAAGAGTGGTTGTTGAGGGTTGGGGAGAGGGGAATGGGAGTTAGTGTTTCGTGGGGAGTCTCAGTTTTGCACGATGAAGGGCTCTGTGGACAGAGGTGGTGATACCTGCACAGCAACCCGAATGGACCCAACTGCCACTGGGTGGTACATTTAATGATTAAGATGGTTAAATTTATGTCGTGTATTTTACCTAAATCAACACAATTAAGGTAGCCCATTGATGCGATAGGATGTTCTTCAAAGTTAATGGTATTTGCTGATGGCCTGGGACAGTGTGTCAAACAAATAACTGCTTCACAGCCCATGCGTGGGACATGCCCTGTACAGGGCATTCTGCACGTGCTGATCTTCCGCCTGGTCCTGCAATGATTCACGACCTTAGGGATCCTGCTTGTTTTTATACTGGTGGAGACTGAGACTCGGGAACCTTCTGTGACTTGCCTAGTCACAGCTGGTTCTAACCTCAACTCCCCTGGTCTCTCCCACCCCAACCTGTCCCCTGGCCCCAGCCCTCCTGGCCGGCAGGGTACTCACCCAGCAGGAGCCGCAGGAACCCTGGTCTCTGATCTCTCTGATGGTCGGGCAGTTTGGCCACTGTTCCCGGGCATCGAAGCTTTCAGGCAGAATCATGCCCTCAGCAAAGGCAGCTCTGGAAAAAGGAATGTCTCCGTCACAAGCTGTCACCTTAGAACCCACTCTCCCATCCCCGCAAAGGCCAGCTGACTGCCGTCACCTAGAAGGGGACAGGCACAAGGACATGCAAAGGAGGGCGTATGCAAGGGTGTCCCCTTGGAATTTATTTAAACACATTTTTTTTTTTTTTTTGGCTGTGCCGTGCAGCTTGCAGGATCTTAGTTCCCTGACCAGGGATCAAACCTGGGCCCTCAGCAGTGAGAGCGTGGAGTCCTAACCACCGGACCACCAGGGAATTCCCCCCTTGGAATTTATAAAACAAAATAGGTTCTACGCTCCACGAAACTTACCATTCTGTACGTTTCTTTCTACACCCATTTTATGGATATTTTTGAAGAGTTTTCGCCACAGGGTCCAGATAATTGTATCTCTTGCTTCCCCAACCCGACCCCAAATCAAGCATCTGACCAGGTTCATCATTTTTTAAATACCTTCACAACTGTGTAATGGTCCCCATAACGTAACTATCCCATCCTCACTGTTAGGATTTTCTAACACTTCCTTCAGGAGTAATATCTACATGAAAATAGAAACTGCAGACTTCCAGAAAAAAAAAAACCATTAACGGCAGATCATATGGCGTTCCTTAGATTTTCCTTAAGTTACTCAAGATTGGGTCCATTCAGATCTTGGAGACCCAGCGCCGGGGCCTTTCCCACTGCAGCTGGGACACCTGGAGAAGCACCGTAGGAAACTCTGGCATCGGTGGCTACAGGCCCTGTACCTCAGGCAGAGTCCCTGCAGCTCAGTGGGCAGTGAGGCCTACGCGTGCCAGGGAAGCCTTCTTGCCTCCCCCTTGCCTCTGTGCCAAGCATCCCTGCTCCCATGGCAGCAGTGCTGGTGTGGCTGTGCGTCCTCCGCGTCCTCCGCAGTAGTGGGCACTCACCTCTGGGGCAGCTTGGGCCCGCCCAGGAAGGTGCCACACAGCTTCTTCACGTAGCTCAGGTCCACGTCGTGGAAGTTGTGTCCAGCCTGGAAGACAGCCGCACCCATAGCAGTCACCCACCAACACGGGGCGGCAGGAGGGTGGGGATGTTTCCAGAGACGGGGTGAAGCGTGCACACCACCCACACAAGCCCTGACAAGGCTGGGGGCCCCTCCACCTCCGCAGAGCAAGGGGGTTGGGGCACTGCTACAGAACAAATGTGTCCCCCCAAAATTCATGTTGCAACCTAACCCCAATGTGATGGTGTTAAGAAGTGGGGCCTCTGGAGGTGCTTAGGTCATGAGGGTGGAGCCCCCATGAATGGGATCATGCCCTTTTATAAGGAGCCTCCAGAGAGCTAGCTTACCCCTCAGGCTAAGTGAGGGCACAGCAAGAGGTCAGCCACCTGCAACCCGGAAGAGGGCCCCCACCAGAACCCGACCGTGCTAACACCCTGATCTTGGACCTCCAGCCTCCAGAACTGCAAGCAACACATTTTGGTTTACAGGCATTGACCTCTGCGCTTTTGTTAGAGCAGTCTGAACGGATCAAGACAGGCATCTGCAGAGCAGGCGGGGAGCGGCCCAGAGTGACCGCACGGGCAGTGGGCAGCTCTCAGACCAGTGGGGATCTCCCCCAAGCTGTACCATTTGCTGACGTCACGAGAGACCCTCCACTGCCCTGAACATGGCTTATCCCTCATCCCTCTGTTCCTGTAGCCTCGGGCCTCAGGGCTGGGCAGAATCATGGAGTTGGTGGTACTGATGGGCTGTGACACCTATCACGGTGGGGTTACAGTGTCTACCTGGTGGTGAACTCTTCCAGAGCTGGTTTACCCCCATGCACCTTCACACACACACACACACACACACACAGACAACACACACACCAGGGAAGGAGACAGGGTGGTGCGCATGGGCCTCAGTGGCCAGGTCTATGAATCAGATCAACTGTCTAGGACACACCGTCCCGTGGGCCACAGCTGCAGCCCCTCCCTTGGGAGTCAGAGTACACAGAAGGGGCCCCCAGCCCACCTTCCACGTAGTGTTTTGCTTGTTAACAAAGTTGACGAGCTCATCCGACAGAGGTGGGAAATGCACATTGCTCCAGGCACTGGTCAACACCACCAGGCAGCTGAGTGTGGCCAGGAGCCGCCACATTTTGGAAACTGGATCCTAGATTAACCTGGAAAGGAAAGGACACAAGACACCAGGATGCTTCTTCCCTCAGTTCAAGTGCTTGACACACACAAGGTGTCACCTCAGGTAGCACTGTTCTGGGGCCACGAACAACCCAGTGGTCAAAGGGATCCCATTCCATCCTGGCTCTACCACCTGCCCCTTGTGCTCCTCAGTTTCCTCTTCTGGAGCTGAGGTGTCAGCAGACAGCCTTCAAGCCTCAGTGACCATGTGCTCTCAGGCCTTGTCTCAAAGTCCCAGCCCATGCCCATAGCATGCAGGATTGTGAAATGGACTCATGTTTGTGTCCCATGCCCCCAAATCCAAGTTGAAATCCTACCCCCAAGGTGATGGTGTTAGGACGTGGGGCCTTTGAGGAATGATGAGGTCATGAGGGTGGAGCCCTCATGAATGGGATTAGTGCCCTTATTATGAAAGAGATTCTACAGAGCTCCCTGGCCCCCCTTCCTCCATGTGAAGACACTGACCAGGCAGACGGGGTCCTCACTGGCCCATGCTGGCCCCTGATCTGGGGCTCCCAGTCTCCAGAACTGTGAGCAGTAAGTTTGTTTGGAAGCCACCGTCTGTAGCATTCTGTTGAAATGGCCTGAATGGCTAAGACAGACTGTGTGCTTCTCTTCCAGGTGGCTGGGAGCATGCACGAGAGAGAAAGCCAAGAAAGGGCTGTGCTGTGTGTGTGAGGCCCCCTCGGATGCCAGCAGGACACCACGTCACCCGGTCTCTAGAGCTGCTGCAGGGCCAGGGCAGGGCTCACAGTCTGAAATGATGCTGGTCACTGCATGGTTTGTGGATCAACTATCTCGTGAGCTGGGAGGTCGGGGCCAAGGCCGCTCTGCTACCTGTCAGAACCCACCCCAGGGCCCAGGCGACAAGCAGTTCCAACAAGTCCATCCCAAACAAATGGACAAACCCGGATCTTCAGGCAAAGTTGAATCCAGTGCCCTCCCCACTATGGTCAACCTGCCTCTCCATGGGTTCCTGGAACAAAGTTTGTGACTTGTCCCAAGTTTGTGCTCCCAAGGAATAAACAGCCTTTCCCTGTGATCATGTCTCAAGTGGAACACCAGTGGGATAAGAAAAACGCGAGAGAAGATAAATCTCATGAGCCACATTCTGGACACCAAACAAGCAAACACAAGCCCACCTCCAGCCCTGCGTGTGCTGTCTCGAGAGCTGGGAGGCACAGCTGGTTTGGCCGGTGGCACTGGTCTCCCGGAACTGTCTGTGGCTTTTCCAGTCAGCCAGGGGCTCTGCTTCCAGTTTCAGAGACGGGGCTCCCGAGAAGGGAAGACATCCCATCACCACCAAGGCCTTAGCTCTTGGATTGGCCTACAGGTCAGGAGACTGCCAACTTGCAGCTCAGCCTCTGAGGCACACTCTTAGGCAAGAAGCTCTGAAGAGAGCAAGAAATGTGACCTGGGCGCCACGGCACTGCGGGGCCTCGTGAGATGCCCACTCAGTAAGAGAAAGAGAAAGAGAGAGAGAGAGAGAGAGAGAGAAAGAGCGTGTGTATGTGTGTGTGTGATGCTGGGACCTCCTGTCCCTGACTTCAGGGGCTGGCACAGCAGGGTCACCTCCTCAGGTCACAGGTTTTTGTGAGGGGTACATGAAGATGACGTAGGTGACAGCACTGAACATGCTGCCTTCCACACAGTGAATTATATTCAAGGGAAAACCTAACTTAATTGTTGCTTAAGCAACAATTCACTTGGAAGAATCCATGTGTGAAGATAGCCAGACGGTTCTGGAAAAGAACAGTGATGGAGGCCTGAAGGTCTGGGGTGGGAAATGTATGATAAACCCTGGGTGACGCCAGCCCAGGAAGAGCTGCATCAACTAAACAGGCCATTTGGAAGCACATCCTAGGAGGGAGGAAATAGCACATCTTGGTGGATGGTACCTGCACAACTGGCTGTGCATTTTGGGAAAAAAACCCAAAAGACTCAATCTTTACCCTCAAGTCCTTACTATACAAAAAGTGCTACATGGAACAAAGATCTTGAATAAAAACAGAAGCTGTATGAAGAAAATAAGGACACTTTTAAAAATGTAACATTGGCGTGAGGAATGCCTAAGATTGACATAAAACAGAATCTTAAAGGGGAAAATGATTACATGAAAATAAAGCCTCTCTTCCAGAAAACAAAATATAAAGTGACAAATGGACAAAAAACAGTCCTTACAAATACTTAGGGCTCTGTTTCCCTAATACGCAAAGGGCTCAAAAAATCAGAATAGAAAAAGCGTAATAGAAAAATGGCCAGAGGACATATACAGTAAATGTACAGAAAGAACTATAGAAGGCCAACAGATACTTTAAGATGCTCAGCAAAGAGCTATGTATCTTCCAGACTGGCAAAGGTGGTAGGGTTGGAAAGTTTTCAGCTGGGGTTAGACGTGTAGAGAAAATAGATGCTAATGCTGATGAATACCCAGTGGTAGGTATGACCCAACCTCTATCAATTCTCCTAACTGCATGCCCTTTGAGTCAGCAGTTTGACATTTAGAAATTTATCCCACAAGCCTCAAGACGAAAGATACCGGTATACGGGTGTTCACTAAACATTCTTGGTGTTCGCAAAAGACCAGAAAGAAAGCATCCAATAACATTAACTGTAACAGCTGTGGTAAATGCTTAAATAATAGAATACAAAAGCAGCCATTAAGAAATGAACCAGTTGAAGCGAATCACACTGTACTGATAAAAAAGACCAAAACAGACAGTAAGTGAAGGGGAGCAAAGCAGCAGGTGAGTCATGGCAAGTGTGAGCCCATCAAGCCACGTACATGTTTATCCCTGTCATTCGTGCAACACGTTGAAAAAAACATACACAAGTCCCAAAAAACTGCTGATTTTCACTATATAGCCAGCCGCCTTTTTTTAAAATGAGCATGTTACACACACACACACACACACACACATATATATATATATATATATTTTTTTTTTTTTTAAATGAGCATGTTATATTTGTGGGTTTGTTTTTTTTAAGGAAGGATAATGGCTGGTGCTACCAAAGACCCAGAGCCACCCACCTGAAAGAACACTTGCTCTGATGAGCCCCCAAATGCTCTGTTTCCAATCAGATGCCTTCTCCCCAGTGACTTTCTGCTCAGAATGCTTAACCTTCCCATTTTCAGTGACTCATGGGGAAGCTGATGCTCACATGACCCTGTGTCAGGAGCCTCCAAACTGTTAGGAAACGTCTTGCCGTGTCCGCATGTGGCAGGAGGGGCGACAGAGCTCTCTGGGGCCTCTTTTAGAAGTCTGGGCAGAGATGCAAAGCAGAGAGTTCCCTTATATCGACACCCTGACTTACCCCTGGCATCTTAACACTGCCCCAAGATGGGAGGTGTGCTCCCCACACGTGGGCGTCCGGACCCACCAGGCAGGGGGAGGCCTGGCTGATGGGCCCGTCAGAATCGCACCTGGAAGGGTCGCCACCCTAGGCTCTCACCACTACCCGTCCAGGTGTCAGGAACATGGCAGGGTCCTCAGGAAATCAGAGGCCATCCGCGCAGAACACTCCCCGTGTGTCAAACAGGAGCGTCCCCAGGGCCCCCTGCGGGCTTAGCCGGCCGCTCACGTGGAGCACCTCCACGCAACCGGACTGCACAGATCTCTGGTTTCTGGAGTTCCCTGGCAGTCCAGTGGTTAGCTCTCGGCGCTTTCACTGCCGAGGGCCTGGGTTCGATCCCTGGCCAACCCTGGTCCGGGAACTGGTATCCCGCAAGCTGCATGGCACAGCCAAAAAAAAGAGGAAAGGATTCTCTGGTTTCTCGGGGGCGGGGAACGTGGGCAGCTCCCAGTTGGTTCTCAGTTGCCGGGCTGACAACTGCCCCACGTCCTGCTGTCCTTTACTGCTCCACGGCTCCTGTCAACTGTTCTCCCTGCTCATCCCTGGCCTCAGTGAGAACCGGGCCCGTGAGCCTGGGGTCAGGGTGCAGTATGAATCACCACTCCAGTCTGGTCATGGGGCCTTCCCTGCAGCCGCAGCCCGCCCGCCGGGGCCGCAGCATCACAGGAGAGCATCTGGGCTGGAGTTCAAGTGGTCAACAGCCGCGGGAGCTGATGGAGAGAATGAGACTGCGGCTTGGAGTCAGGAGACCTGGATTCCGCTTACTTCGCAACTGTGTACCCGCCTTCACTGAGCCTCAGTCTCACCGCCTGTAAAATGGGGCTGGTGACCACTCGTGTCCCCGGGTGGAAGTCCAGAGTGAAAGGAGGGTGCCTGCCAGTCAGAAGGCAGCAAAGGCCCCGCCCTTCTCCTCCTCCCCGTCTCCTCTCCTTTCCCCATTTGCAGTCCGTGCCAGACAAGTCCAGTTCACTCAAACCCGCCCAAAATACCTCCACGTCACAAAGAGCCCCAATTAAAACTGAGATTTTAACTCCAATCAATCTCCCAACGGACCTCTCCTTCTAAGGGTCCGGGGGATCCCAGAGAATACAGAATCAAATTTCTCCTCCTATGGGGATAGACAGAGGCCCCTGCATTCCAGTGGACACCACCTCTTCCTTTCTGTCCACATCCACATGCATCCTGAAACAGGACAAACTAAGCACAAATGGTTTAAAGCATGAGCTGTGCTGTTAAAAATACAGTCACGATCCCACGCGTGGCCTCAGCATGAAACACTACCAGTTTTCAGTTCCCCTCTTTTGAACAAACACTTCCCTTTTCTCAATTCTGTGGGGGTTTTTCCCTCCTTAAAAACCAGAGAGAAAGGACAGTAAGTCCTTATTGTGAGGGAAGAGAGCCGCAAACAGGATTAGGGCACCTACAAGTCACCAGATCCCCATCAGGGTGTGGACGGGAGGCAGGACGGCTTGGGCAGATGTGACTTGTAGCCCTTAGTCAGCTGACTTCCTGGGAAGACCGTGGGCTCCATTACACCCTCTGGCCCTTTTCCAAGATACTCTCTGGCTTTATAAAAGGGGCTCTCGGGCTTCCCTCGTGGCGCAGTGGTTGAGAGTCCGCCTGCCGA